AAATTGGTGTGTTTTTCCACAAACCAATCAAAATAATCAGATGAACGACATGTAAGAGTCCACTACTGAGTTGAGTACTGGGATATGTATTCCAAGACAATTCAATGAGTCCCAGAATGCACAGCCTATTCATACAAATAAAGTCATGTGTTGTAACTGATTAGTGGACAACTAGTCTAAAGCATTAGCGGTTACTCTTTGTGTTTGTTAACACAAACCATTTATAACATGACTTCATAACTTACTTAGTCTTTGGAGAATAGCTTGTAGTCCACAAAAGGAATGGTAGGGAATGGAAATACCACACATAGAACTGGTAATGGAGTGAACGCGAGAATGCTATTCCTATAAAGTTTGCCGTAAATAAAGTCAACAGAATTTCTGTAATAAATTAACAAAATATTGTGAAACAAAATTAAAGGGTTTAGAGTGTGGGCTAAAAGGATACATACGATCATTAGATAAAGCAATAGACGTCTGTTTCACGACTGGAAGCCACTTATGCCACTTAAAGTACCTGTTGATCAGTATAACCGCATTTTACAATTAATAATCTCACTGTAGTTTGCATTCATTTAATTTACCTCTTCTTAAAGAATAGCAATAGTATTAACAAATGAAGTGCTAATAGAGTTATGTGGAAGTATTGACTAACAAACACTTCATTAGTTACAAACCGCCAGTTCACTGTCCACTTGTGTAGAAACACTCGACCAAAATTAAATGAGTTTAATATATAAGCCTTCGGGTAACTTAACAGAAATGGTAGGCCCAGTGCTAACTAAATTAAGTAATTAAAACTAATTATGAGAAACACAAATTCACATCTATCAACTGGTATAAATTGAAAAAACTTTTTATTCATTACTGTATATTTAGATAGAGTTGTGTAAATTAGATGTAAATGAAAAATGTTTCATTACCTGAATAAGAGCACAGACACTAAGATTGATAATAGTATTGCGAATGTGATTAGTCTCTAACAGCAGGAGTAGAAGTGCCGGTGCGAACAGCAGTACATTCATTTTGACTGATACGGCAATACTGTTAACAAATGGAAACAAATACACATTCAATACAATTGGGCAGTCATTGCGTGAATCGGCGCTAACCTATAGAATACTGAGCCGACAGTCCATTTGCGGTCAATGAAAAAGTTGATCGCAATGTAGAGGAGAGCCATCGCTATTGTGTCGTTAAACAGCCGAAGAATATATATGGAATGGATTCGATAGGATGTGCAACACATCACCACAAATGCAAACGGAGGTAACTGAGCACCAGTTGGACATAACATATCAAATTTAGGCGATATATTGTACACAATGTTATCAGTTATACAAAACTAAGCATATTATAGGAATCAAAGCTTTCAAATATACAGACATAAAATTCTTAACACAATCGTTGTATTAAAGCTGAGATCTGATTGTATGCGACAATAGTGTCGTTTAATTGCTTCCGACACAAACTCTACTAAAACATAGTCGTCATCCGCTTTCATGACATCTCTATATTCAACTGTTTGCATATATTTCACAATTAACTACTCATTACTGTCTCATATGTAATATTAAGTGTAACATAATTATCTAACAAGTAAATTTAATATACTGTACTACAGAATAACCAGATCTGACCTCAAGAATACTAAAATTCTGTGTTTATTGGATTAACAATCAAATTCATTAACATTTTTAGTCTTTAATAAAGAGTACAAAGTGTGTGAACTTTATTTAAAAATATTGGTTGTGAAAGACGGTCTCATATAAGATGTAAATCAACACGAAATACAGAATATTGTATGAATCAGAATGTGAACAGCATTTACACCACATTATAATCACAGACCAGTCTTTATATTCACAAAATTTCTCTTTATTTCATTGACTCTATATTTGGCTCATATTTGTATTAATGTATTAAAAATAAATAATTTCTTACTTTTGAATCCATTTTATGATATATTCTGAAGACAGCTAATAATGTAATCAAATATATGAAAGCAAATATATATTGAGCGCACAATATATTAGTGCCTCTATTTGTCAGGTAATAGAGTATTGTATAGATGTAGAGATGTCCGGCCGGGTAGACAATAGGACCCGTATCTCCTTTGATGGCATTATAGTCGAGAGTGCCGTTGAGGAAGCACTGGACCTGTTGTACATAAGTTGACCAGTCTATCTCTGTGTCTATTCAATGGACATTTCAATAAATTTATTATTTAGTTATACGTCTATTGTTACAATTAGTAATTCAGTTTTGTTATATTTGTATACATTATTATAATTATAACATAACATTATT